TCGTCGTTTTGGTTTACGATAGTTTCCGGCGAGCTTCTTTGTTGTTTCGTACAATTGTCTCAAGTCACCGTCTCTTGCAGCCTTTTCCGCCGTCATTGCTAGATCTTCCAAGATTTTCGTTTGTTAGCTCTGATGCTCTTCTTCAATTCCCTGTTTGCTTCTGTGTATGCAGCTCTTGTTCGACTGACATTGATTGCTGCCTTCTTGTTCCTCCTTTCTTCAATTTTTGCAAGAGTATCAACAGACATCGATTCCTTGTGACGGTACTCCATGTGACCCAGAACTTCGTGACTTGCTGAAGTGATTGCCTCCTTAATACCTTTCCAATTGTTCTCCAATGTTGCGTCCTCTCCATTGTGTAGATCCTGAAAGGCCTGGAACCTATTGGTGAGGGCTATCCTGAATTCATTTAGCTTTACAGTATCCTGAAGAAAGGCCGTATTAAACTTGTGTGATGTTGTCTGCCCTGTTGTCAAGTGCTTCTTTAGTTTCAGTTTCATTTTGGCGATTAGCAGATGGTGATCTGATTCTATATCAGCCTCTCTTCTGGTTATCACATCCTCCATAGTCCTTCTGAACGTTTTGAAGATACAGATGTGATCAATCTGGTTTTGAGTAGTGTGATCCGGTGACATCCATGTGGCTTTGTGTATGCGTCTGTGTGGGAATATTGTGCCACCGATGACCAGTTTGTTGAAGGCACATAGGTTTGCAAATCTCTCACCGTTTTCGTTTCTTCCTCCTAGTCCATGTCGCCCCATGATGTCTTCATATCCAGTGTTGTCCATTCCAACCTTGGCATTCAGGTCTCCCATAAGAATCGTCAAATCCTTTGTTGCGCATCTGTCAACGATTGACTGCAGCCTTTCGTAGAATTGATCTTTAACGTCATCATTGGTAGTTATTGGTAGGTGCATAACATTGGATGACGTTCATTGTAATGTCCTGTTTCTTTATTTTAAAGGATGCTTTAATGATCCGGGGTCCACTAGATTCCCATCCTATCAGTGCTTTTTGTGCATGTTTGGACAGCATCAGTGCAACTCCTTGTGTATGTGAAGCATTTTCCTGTTCATGACCAGAGTATAACAGCAGTTCCCCTGAAGCTAGTCTCAGTTGTCCTACATGTGTCCATTGCGTTTCACTGATGCCGAGCACCTCGAAGTTGAATCTTTTCATTTCTGCTGCAACTTGAAATAGTCTTCCAGTCTGCCACAATGTTCGAACGTTCGATGTACCTAAAAAAATGGTTGCTCTGGTTGTCAGAAGAGGCATCGGCCTCGTGACTACCGAGGGAACTCGGCTTTTATAAGGAGACGTCATAATTCTTCTTGCAACTCCCAGGGCAGAGTTAAAATGGTTTGGATTATTTTTTCTGGTTAGCGTTTTTTTGGCAAGTTATTTTTTGACGGAATGGGGTTGCCAACCACATGTCCAACCCTCCTCCTTTACCCGGGCTTGGGACCGGCAGTAGCCCCTAAGGTTCTACTGGCGGAGTTAGTTTGATTATGTGCTTATAGCTTTTAGATGCACGTTTGGCTGAAGAGACTGCACAGTGTTAATCTCCTTACTAATCTGTGAAGAAATTTTCTTTTATGTAAGCGAATTGATCTATAAACTCTGGTTTACAATCAAAGGTCCATGTATCTCCACATGACGATGAGCATAAAATAACGTTTTTTTTAATTCGGTTACTTTGTGTGCGTTGGATAAAGTTTGTGGCTCCCTATACTTGCATGAGAAGATTGTCATGTGAAGGAGAACTCAGATCCACCGCTACATCAGACACCAACTTCAGTAAATGTGGTCAAATATGTTCATTTTTCCATACCACATCATTGAACGTTTTCGTATTCACAGCAGGAGAGTTTTCCAAGCACATAAAAAGTGCCTTCACACTGACAAGCATTTTCTTACTATGGTTTTCTCCTACGGGACGAAGTTGTTAACCTACACACGAACCCTCTTCTTTATTGCCGATTCGAACTTATCAATGTAAGTTGATCTTTCTAGGAGACACAGACATTTTATTCCGGTCTAAATTCATCAGCAAATCGTATCTCTGATAGCTTCTTGATTCTGCTGCTTGGATTGGTTGCTCACTACATAAAAGGTTTACATAACCACTCCTGTCACAAAAAGCTGACATTTTTATCATTTCATTACCTTCAGTGTTGACTCTAAGTGATTTCGACAGAAACAAAATTGATAAAGAACCCATGAAAAGATCTGATTGTGAATATTATGGCATGTTTAATTCACTGGCCTGTTACGTTGTGGGATTTTTTTCAAGCGTCGCCCCGTTAGAATAAAAAAGACTTCAAGTTGGTCATGGCAGATTTTTGCGAGCAGATGTCTGGGAAATTTAGAGAATAAGGCTTCATGCGTACACAATAACCCTACAACATTTGATATAGAATAATTTGAGAAATAATATATGATCAAAATAAGGTAGTAATTACATACTTTAGCATAGATAGTTTATTCTAACCAGGAGGATAGTCGCTTACTATTTACTACTTAGCCCAATCTACTGAAGTAACAAAGTAACCTAGGTAACGACAAAATACCGATGTTACTTGAATACGAACATCTGAGTTTTCGAATTAAGAAACGTTCCAAACTTTGCATGGACCCACACTTGGAAGGATTAGATAGTCCAAGTGCTGTAAACAGCATCAACACATGAAATTCGACCAGATATTTCTTTTAGTGCCTTAAGTTTATCGGTTAATAAAGAACCCCTATAAGATGGTTGCATAAGCGGCATGTCATAGTTCCAGGTAGATAGGGATAAAACACTAGTAAGTATGGGGTTAGAACGGAATACCTGTGAAATTTGAATTTATCCTGTCTAGTCACCAGCTCTAAGTTGGAGAACTTCATGTTCACAAACCAGTAGGAAGTCGTGACCACGACACAGTCATATTTATTGCTGTCACAAATGAGGCACATAGGAATGATGGCCGTATTCCGCATCATGTCTGTCCTAAGTAGTTACAGGCGGAATTGAGTTGCACTAGCTATACTAGTATATCTAGGCAGCATCATCTATGAGCAAAGTGGTTCTGATGCATATGTGGAGGCGTGGTTCGGAAAAGCAAGGACAGCATTTTCATAAATGAAGAATAGCTAGAATTTAAAACATTTCTTGACCAACACCAAAGTTAGCATTTTCAATAAAAAATGTCAACACAGTTGTACAATATGTGGAGGAAACTTAGATAATCATGAAGGCCATCATCCGTAAGGTGCATGTGTTCATTACCACTTTTCTACCCAAATTACTTCGAATCCTCTGGCAAAGCACCATTAGCAACAACCTACTGAGGGAGAGATTAAACTTGATTTCAGAGGAGGGAGAAGCTCTGGAAGTGGATAGGACACAAATTAAGGAAATCACTCAGCTGTTTCAAAGGACAAGCCATAACTTGAAATCCTCGAGACTGAAAGAAAAGCGGAAGACCAATGAACATACCGAATCACGAAATAGAGATGGACATAAGAAGGATGAACAACAGCTGGACGAAACTAGAAAAGAAGGCTCAGGATAGAGTAGGTTGGAAAATGCTGGTCAGCGGCCTACGCTCTATTACAGGTAATAATATAGTGTTATAATAGAGTGTTTCCTATTCTAGGAGAGTGCTTTGATTCGCGGTCAATATGTACAATTATAGTCAATGCAAGCAACACAATCGACGGAGGAACATATCAATATGACTGCCTCCAAAACTAACTATCAGCTAAAACAACATAAATGCAGTGGAGGCAAAAGCAATAGAAACTATATTAAGATACAAATATTAGAATCTGAAACGGGATCGAAGAGACCAACTAAATGTACAGGTGAAAGAATCAATAAGAACAAATGTTTACATGGAGGGCTTTTCACAAACAAAACCTTCAAAAATGGATCTTACACGCCCACACCGTGAGGTTCACAACATCGTCGCACCCGCTCCCTAAGAGAAAATAAATCTCTTGGATCGAGTGCAGGTTGATAGGGTTGAGGAACAAACATTACGAAGATAGACCACAGCACTTGGGAGTATTCTCACTGAGTTAGAGAAGGGTCAGAGGTGATCTGATTATGGCGTACAACATATTAATCACCCTAACCCTAACCATCCCAACGTGAGCGTCTTATCGATGCATCACCACCACCCCCGTCGAGGTATTCTGCAAAAACTCGTTCAACAAACGGCAAACACTCAGGTTCTTACACACTTTTTCGCATTAGGAGTCGTTGAAACTTGAAATGCTCTTCCTGAAAAGGTGACTACAGTCCTCTCTATGGACAGCTTTAAGAAGAGACTTGATATAAAATTAATCACATTCGAAATGTCATCTCCCTCGTGGACAAGCTGTGTGTGATGCATGCCTTTAGACCTGCTAGTTATTATCATTACCAGCTCCTCAGATCACTCAGCTGTTCTATCTTGCCTATCATCACTGTTTCCTCTCCCTTGCTTACACTTCGGTCCTCTCTCACAATCTTCACTACCAAATACTAAACTAAATTACCCAGTACTTACTTAGTCCTGAAATCTTCCTATTATTAGCTCTAGTAGTTTCTCGTCACTATTCTCCGCATTTCAACTGACTGATCTTTGGTCTGGTAATTTGATAGCTGCTGGTATGCGGAAACCCACCTGCCCTGAAACAAACATTTTCATTCGAATCACGGGACACACAAACATACAAACCACTGACAGTCGAGTGGCTAGACCCCCATCCATTTTAAACTACCACACTTCTGGAACCGTATCAAAAGAACAAGAATCGAGGACAAGGAAACCAATTTATTTATACTAGCTCGTGAAAAAGATATCGGATATGTCCTTGATCGATGACACTCAAGTTTAGAGTGGAACAATCATGGTAGACCAACGTTAAACTCAAATAAAAATTTTTTGGTCAATAAAAGTGATTATAGAAACTAAGTGTAGTCACGAAAAACGTACCAAATAACAATCATTGTTTATTACATTCAAAGGTCGTTTACATGCCCTTGAGACAGGACAGATACCATGGTCAGTTATCTTCCTATTCTCGCCTGTTGGAGGTATAGGCAGTGATTCATGTATGATTAACTGTACGATTCCTCTCAAAAGCACAAAAAAGGAATTTTTCGTTACTCATTTAGCAACAAATATTTGTGGTAACGTGGCAGTAAACTGGTTTTGAGTTGGCTGTGCTACTTCGAAACTTGACGAGTCGTATACATGTTCATACTTCCTGCCCTTTCTTCAAATTTTTTATCGTCAGAAAACAATACTAGGAGTGGAATTCTGTTTTACATATCAACAGCATGTTTAACTCTCGGTTCGCCAAGCTTCGGTTTAAGCTATTCTGTAATTATGTTGTGATCAGTTTCATCTTTGGAAATTTTTATGGCTCCGGTTAGTGCATCATACGACTAAAGGATTTCACTTCCTATTTCAACTCAAAATTCCACTACTTGGATAGCGACAAAGTCTATTAGCACAGATACCTACGAACCTATACTTCAACTTAAGTGCTGGACCGGACAATACAAAACTTTATAACATTATTTAGTCAAGGAGAAGTAAGTGACTTCAGTAGGTTGTGTTTAGATAAATTCATGACTACTTAAACTGTAGAAACATACTACATGTAGAATTACGTATGACTAACAGGTTGTCAGTTGTCGTATTCAGTAAGGACTTTTAATTGATGACCCACCAGATTGGTCATAATTTGCATTACCACTACACTAAAGTTGTTGATTGCCATTTAAAGGTAATTCATTATGCTCATGGAAAGCATATTCTTTGTTCTGACGAACAATAAATATTGGAGTCTATCCAGTGCGCTTTTTTAATTCGAAAACTCCAATTCCATTAGCTTAGTTAGTGTATCTGTTTACCCTAAAAGTGGGCATTTCATCCAAGCATGAAATTTTGGTTATTAGGTTGCTTATAAACAAAGCACTAGCGTCTCACTTCACCTAAGGCACAGGCTACTCTTAATGTATCTGGAGTAAGTAAAAACTGAGACAGAAACATGCCCTGATCGCGCAGTCAAAAATTGATGTAAAGCTTCAGCTTATGAAGCCAAACGCTTCTTATCTCGGAGGATGCTGTATTTTAAATGCTTGATTCTCAGTCTTTAAATGTGCACTCCCAAGGATCGTAACGTATTGATGGATCCTTGTTCTCGAGATTACATTCGCTTGAATAACTAAGCATACTGGTTTGTCAGGTAAGTGGAAATCCCCTGTTTGCATGTTTTAAAATCTTCGCTTTACTAAAGTAGCTAGAGGATTGGTTAGTATTGTTGTTGTTTCCATAAAACTCTTATGTAGTGTGCTGTCTAACCACAATTTGAGTACTCGTCTGAAAAATATCCAGTTTAAAGTAGTATGTGTCGATTAACCTTTGAAAATTGCATGGCTCGAAATTGTCCGTAGTCGTTGCGCTTATTCCTTTTGTCTCAGGTCCTAAATTTGTTACATAAAATTTTATTCCACAAATTTATATTCACTCTTAGAATCGTATCTTCGATTCCTTACCTTTTGTGTTTCCACAAATATTGTTATTATTCTTAGTACTGATTCGCACTGATGATTTTGGCTCTCTTTTCTAGTATGGTATGGCAGCTATATCCACATATGCCAGGTTTTACGTTACGTATTACTTACCGCCTGAACATGCCTTGCTAAAAATTGAAATAAATCAATCGAATAATTGTGTGATAAAGTTCATTGAATCCAAAGTAAAATGGAGACATATCGATTCCAGAATTCCTTTTACCACTGTCTGAAATTTATCCCAATGCTTAGAACGCGCTTCTCAGTTGTCTATTTGACAGTAAATGTGGCTTGAAAACACCAGAACCACTCATTTTCAGGGTTCTGTTTGCGGCGTAAAAAAGTTACTTAGTTCGGAATATCTATTTTACCAGACTTGTCTCCATTAAATATCATGCCGTATCATATATCACACACTACATTTTTAGTTTTACCTTTAACTTGTTTTTAGTGAACTAACAATCACAGAACTCTCACTCAAGATCCTATTTCGACATCGTGATATAAACAACTTTTGTTACCGGAGGTTCAGTTATATTATATATAAAACATGAGTGAAAGCGTTACCTCATCTGAAGAATTTGGATATCCGCGCTTGTCTCTCTTTCAAAAATCAGAACAAGAAGGTTTAAATCAGTGCACTGAAACTCTAAAGAGTCGCAGACCAAACACTTTAGCACTTGAGAATTGTGATAAAAACCATAAAACACACTCAAAACGACCTACTGTTTTAGATGTTTGTGATTCGTCTACAAAAGCTGTTTGCGATACGAGTGCTTGCTCTGCATCAGTTATTTCGGCGTCATTATCCGCAAGTCCAATCAGAAGACCTAGTTTTCTGCCAATACCTTCACAAGGAAGTAACGCTTCAGGTTTTCAAAAGCCTCATGGCGGATTTATGTCAGGAAATAGTAGGAGGACTACACCTACAGTTAGGGTCCCATCTGATCTTATACAACCTGATTCTATGGGAATGCTTCCCAAAAAAAGTAGGTGGATTTCTTGTCACATTCTGCATTTGTATAGATGTCTAAATTTAATAACCTATATCTCACAATAACTAACCGATTATTCACCTAATAACTTGTGATACAAGTTGCATGCTTGCAAGGGTTAAGGGCGTATTTATTTGCTGGTAAATCTTTTTCTGACTTAATTAATCCAGCTCTATACTTATGTCTTACAAGCAGTTTACAATTTTTAGATTAGCCCGCTTTAAACTGCTTCTATGTTTAGGTTTTTACTAGTAGCAATATCATCATGTTCATTTTTTTACTATTCCTTTCGTCACTTCGCTCTCATAGTGTTTGTTTGAAATATGATAACCCGACCGTAGCTGCTACATTGACGTGGTGATCGGGCTTGCCTATCGTGATAATGATGAACTGGGCGTAATCCCATCCGACTGGTCACAATCCTTTATTGTCCCGATTTGTAAGAAGGGAAAAGTCTTCTTGTGACAATCACACGGGTATAAGTGTAACTAATGTAGTTTCTAAATTGTTAGCCTCGAAAATCCTTAGACGCCTAACTAGAGAAAACCAGGCTGGTTTCAGACTTGGACTTGGCTGTATAGACCACATCTTCACACTATGACAGGTTCTGGAACACAGACACATATTTAGGCATCCTACAATAGTAGTCTTCCTGGACCTTAAGGCGGTATTTTACTCTGTTGATCGTGAAGTTCTGTGGCAGAGTCTGTCATTAAAAAGTGTACCAAATAAGTGCATTAACCTTACACAGGCTCACTACTTGAAAACTTTCGGTCGAGTGAGGGCTTGTTGCGAACTGTCATCGGAATTCTTTACTTCAAGTGGCGTTTGTCAAGGATGTCCACTTTCCTCATTCTTGTTCAATTTTGTCATAGACATGCTGCTAGATATAACATTATCTTCGTCTGAATTTTCAGTAAACCTACCAGGAGGTTCTATTGTTGACTTACAATATACCGATGACAGTTCTATTCGGTAAAGACGTTGACAATTTGCAATCTTCTGACTACCCTGAACAACAATGCACGCAAGTTCGGGATGCGGTTTTTCCCCGTCGAAATGCAAAATGTTGCTTCAAGATTGGGTTCAATCGGTACCTGAACTAGTGGTAGGGAGTGAAGTGGTCGAACGTGTAGACCGCTTCACTTATCTCGGGAGTCTCATCAGTGCTGATGGTCTGGTGTCTGAGGAAATTTCAGCACGGCTAGAGAAAGCTCGATTGGCTTTTGCCAACCTGCGTCATTAATGGCGAAGGCGAGATATCTGTTCGCTAACTAAAGGATGAGTGCACTGTGCAGTAGTTCACCCCGTCCTACTTTATGGCTGTGAAACATGGACAATCAGAGTAGAGGATATTTGTCGATTGCTGGTTTTCGATCTTAGGTGTCTCCGAAGCATTGCTCGTATATCCTGGGATAACTGAGTAAGCAATGCTGTCGTTAGGAATCGAGTACTAGGTAAGGATGGCAGATCAATAAACGAAGTATTGAAACTTCATCAGTTGAGGTAGTTTGGAAATGTGTTACGTATGGCTAACCACCGACTGCCCCGACGATCTATGTTTTGTTATGTAGGAGTAGGTTGGAAGAAATCTAGGGGCGGCCAGACCAAAACATGGCACAAATGCATGAAGTCACTGACAAGTGGCCTGATTCATGTTGTTAGGTGTCGACTATCTGGTTTGGGTCCACGAGATTAGAATAATCGATGGTTAGAGACCGTGTATGGCATGGCTGAAAACCGTTTGCAATGGCGCCGGTGCATTTATTCTTTATGTTCTATGAAATTGTAACCTTTTGAATTCCTCATCTTTCTTTTTCTGAATTTACCGCACTGAATCATACTTCTTGAATAACATCTTTGAACCCTAATATCTCTGATTACTTCTAATACTTTTACTATTTCTACTACTATGGGACTTGAATCGACAATTACATCTGTGTGCTAATGTGGTATGTCAAATTGTACTACAGTACTCACTGGCAAATTTCTACGTTGCTGTTGATGATGATGATGAACCCGAAACGTTATACGTTTTTTCCATGTCACAGGTTATTTATGCCTATTTGTCACCTACATTAGGTCCTTGTATTTCTGCAAAGCTGCTTGGTCTCTTTTGGCTCAAATCGATGCAAAGGAAATCTAATTTTTAAGGTATGTGAAAGTCTCGAAATACTCACCTTAAACCTTGAAGCTGGCGATCATAATTCTTTTCCGGCTTGTTAGTGGGACATAGATGGAATTAAAGCATGACTACATTGCTGCGCGCTGATTGGCTTATTTCCTATCCAGTCAGCGCCTGATCGATTCTTTGAGAACAGGGTAGAAAATTCTCGTGTTGTTAGCTGCATGCTGATTGGCTAAATCTAATCCAGTCGATCACGTGAATTACTATCCAGAAGCTTCTCATGTAAATACTGTAAAGAATCTAACGTTGTATCTATTTTGCCTTCGCCTTCGCCATCACCTTTGGCTTCTTATTTCCATCCAACCTTGCTATTTGGAATATAATCTTTTCCTGTTCCACCGTGTTCTTGATTCTTTGGAACTTGTCCAGTGTGTTGTGGTCAGAGAATACTAAGCAATAGGAATTAGCTGGAAATTATTTAAGCGAAGCGTTACAACACGGCTACACTAAACATTCGCCAAAGTTGTTGGAGTTCACCTTAGACTATTTAAGCACTAACTGAAGCCTTGTTTTAAAAAGATGTCCTGTAAAGTAGCTAGGTTGCCGATTTTTATACCTACAACAGTGAGACAATTAAAAGTTATTTCAGAATTCTTTTATCACACCAACTCACATGAAGCATATGAGATCTATACGGAACCCTGTATTCTCTTACTGTGCAAAATAGCTAGGCCAGGTATTTCAATAAGTGATGGTAAGCTGAAATCCTTATCCAAGATAAAGATGTCGTTGTAAACGTCTTCAAAAATGTAGCAAGTGCAACAGTTACTGTGTAATAGATGACAGTAAAATAATAATTTTGTGTTATCCCAATTATCGGAAATTCGGACACCACGGAAATATAACTGTTGAATAAAAATAAAGGGATTTCAGCGAAAAATTTTTTTTGGACGAAATCATCTACTTAAACTAGACTTTCTTTTTCATAGTCGCTCGATAAACATGTCTTGAGAAAGATAGATGTCGCATCATCGAGTGATCATAGATTTCAAAGGAGATTACGTAAGTCGTCTGGTGGTTGGAAGAATAGGTGGATAAGGGTTGTTTGAAGGTCAGATACATGAGAGATGATTGTCCACTTGACAGATATGAAAATGAAAAACTCAAAGGTAATGTTAACTACTGAATAGCATTCATGAAAATTGATAGAGGTTATTAATAATTGATTACGGTTCAGAAATGCAAATAATCAAAATAAGACCAAAAACATAATGGCGAAGGGTTTGAATTGATGGGTCTTCAACTGCTCAGCAGTGCATAATTTTTCTGTTCGAATTCCGTTTGATCCGATGCTTTTGACTACAGATATTACTTTGAAGGGTCAGTCAGTTAGTTGCAACGTAGAACTTCGTACGTAAGTACATCAGTTCATGTCGCCATACCACATCAGCACAGAGATATAATTGTCAATTCAAATCCTTGCAACGTAGAACTTCGGTACGTAAGTACGAGATCAGTTTTCATGTCGCCGATACCACATCAGTCATCAGAAGATATCGATTGTCATTACAATTTCAAATCCAATAGTAGAAAGAAAGGGCAGTAAAGGTAATTGTGTAGAAGTAATCGGAGAG